CTCTCTCTCTCATCTCCTCCGCCTTCTCTCATCTCTCTACTCCTCTCTCTCTCATTTCTCTCTCTCTCTCTCCTCTCTCTTCTCTCTATTCTCTCTCTCTCTCTCCTCTCTCTCTCACTCTCCCTCTCTCTCTCTCTCGCTCTCTCTCTTCTCTTCTCTTCTCTTCTCTTCTCTTCTCTTCTCTTCTCTTCTCTTCTCTTCTCTCTCTCTCTCTCTCTCTCTCTCTCTCTCTCTCTCTCTCTCTCTCTCTCTCTCTCTCTCTCTCTCTCTCTCTCTCTCTCTCTCTCTCTCCTCTCTCCTCTCTCCGGCAAGCAACTGCTTGCCTCGTCCAGAAGGAAGGCCACTGTCGCCCAATAATGTGCTACTGGGTCCGATGCCGAGGCAAAAGTGGCGCCCTGGGCTTCTGGCTCATACACCAACCTTCCGGCTAAACCTCTGCCTCGAAACTCTCTGCGCCTCTGGGGGGGGGGGCAGAGGGGGCCAGGATGGGACCCCCCCATCCTAGATACCCGACGCTCAAATTCGACACCGCTGTCCAAGGCCCCGCGCTCGCAAACCTGGAAAGCTCGCGATTCCCCTATGTAGTCTGGAGGCTGCAAATCCCCACTCTCAGGTTGCGCGACGAATCTGCCGCGCCACAACGAAGGGGGCGCTTCGAAGCATTGCCCCCGCAGCAAGGCTGGGGCCCCTGAGGATCTGCCTCAACCCCCTCCTCCAGGACACCCCCAGGGCCCTCCAAGTCCGAGCCATCCACCCCCTGAAGCAGATCCCCAGGGCAGAAGTGCTCCAACGCCGGGGGGGGGGCCCTTGAAAATCACCCTACGCCTAGGTCGCTCAGCACTAGCGGGCTTGCGATTTATGGTTGTTTGCACCCCATCCTGAATTTGGGCCTTCTCTGCCGCTCTCCTGGACCGCTCGCCGTCGGGGCCCCTGGGCTCGTGGATGGGCGGGGTTTGGACAAACTGCAAAACTCTGCGCAGAGCCTCCACCATGCTGGGCTTCAGTGCGACCTTCAAACCGTAGTGGCTCCCCCCTCCGCCGAAGACTGGGCCGGGGCCCGCTACTACTTCTCGAATCAGGTGCCTCGCTGACTTCGAAGATACAAAATAATCAGTCATACGACACGGCTTCACCGTGCATGCACATGACATTGCGCGCTACACGGATCTCACCTGGAAATAAATCCGGCCAGCCACTCACCTCAAGTTCCTCTGGCTCACAGCCCCAATCGCCCTTCACTACCCAGGGCGCGCGCAATGACTGCAACAGCGCGCCTAAGCTAGCCAGCTTCTGTGAACTTAACCGAACTGAGACCTATGCCTGCGGCGAGATAGATGCCGAAAATACTGAGCACCCGGCCTGCAATCGTCGTCTCACAGCCGACAAAAAAACATGGAAATCCACTCCGCTGCTGGCACCCATCTGCGACTGATCTAAGTCACGAAGTCCTAAAGCTGAACGTGGATCACGCGCCAAATGTCTGAAAGACTCGAAGTGATAAACGTTCCTGCGTCCTGCTGCTATGCCCCCTGGTCTGTCACTCTTCTCACTGGCCCTACTCTGCGCCAACACTGGTTTTAAACCAGCTTGCGCCCAAGTAGCCAGATGCTCATCTGCTTTGTCTGGGCGAGCGTGGACTTCGGACAACACGTAGAAATCGCACTGCCTCTCCTTCAATAGATTCCTCGCCGTCGGGCCGAAGCTGGACAGATTGCGCATGCACGACATGTATTCCTTGCCCTCGCTGGTGTCGCCATGGCTAGGAACCTCGCCGCATCGCACGTCGTAGTCGGTTGATATCCTGCTCTGCCCCCTCCTGCATCGCCTGCTTCTTGGCCTCGACCTCTGCTGCTGGAGCGGCCCGCTGGGCTCGGGGGCCTTCTGGGCTCCCGGCGCTAGCGGCGGCCCCCCTATCCCCGCTCGCGGCGGCGGGCGCTCGACCTCCCACGGAGGTGGCGTTCGCTGGTGGGGGAGCGGCGGCAGCAGCGGCTCCACTCTCAGCAGCTGGTCTCTGGCCAGCAGGAGGCATCACAACATCATCATCATCATCACCATCATCATCATCAGCATCATCATCATCATCTGCATCATCATCACCACCATCGCCATCATCATAATCATCATCATCATCACCATCAGCATCAGCATCATTACTATCACGTTGCTTCGCACTCCTGGCTGCGTCTTCTGACATATCCTTCTGGACTGCCTCAAGCTGGGCCTTGAGGCCTCCCATTACTTCGCACACCACCTTCTGCCACAGCTCGTTGGTCGTGGCGGATCTCTCCTCCACGATGGATTTGTCCTGGTCCTGGAGGATGGGTCCATCGAGCAACTTGCCGAACGAAAACTGCAGTTTGACCCCTTCCTCAATCGCCGGGCCAACGTCGATGACTGGTGTGAATATGTCCTTGTCCTCCCCCTGTAAGCAAAACGAGTCGGGCTGCTGCAACTTCTTCTTCTTGCTCTTCAGCTTGAACAAGTTCGGCCGTTGCTGCCTGAAGCGCGTCCTGTCTCCGTGTGTTCCATCTCTGTACGTACCCAGCGAGCCCGTGCCTTCTCCAGAGCTTTGGCAGCTCTGCCCACACGAGCGTTCGCTTTCTCCAACTGTTCAGCTGGCCGCACCACATGCTGTTCGGGCCGGCGGGGCTCCAGCGCCTGCAGCAGCTCCTAGGTTTTCTTGCTGGCGCTAGGGTCCCTGATGTCTCCCACGACCGCTCGCAGAGCCGCCTGGAGGTAGGAGCCCTTGTCCTGCTGGGCTGCTGGGCTACGGCCCTCGTCTGGTATGCGCCCAGCCTCGCACCGCAGACGCAGGTGTAGTCCACCTCCTCGAGTCTGTCATGGTACACGAAGCGCGGGCACTTCGTGCAGTGGACCTTGAGGCGACACGGTCTACGGTTCGGGCTGTACCGAGTCTGACTCTGGCGGTTGCCCTCTCCATCTCCGTACCCCCTGTCACGGTGGACCCACGGCTGATACACAAACCTCTTTGCGCGCCACGGAGCAGTAGTGTCAAACTCATCGATGTACGATGTAGGTTCGCAAATGCAGTCGGGGATAAAACCCCAGCACTCTAGCGGAATGCTGTTGGGGCCGCGTGCGCCTCTGAGGCGCCCCCAATGCCACAAACTCTCGTCCGCTGCTGACGCTCGGGCCACGCTACGGATTTGAGCCAAATTGGCTACGGTCGGAATGCCTCCAGCAGGGCGAGAAGGCAACGAATGTCTGTGCCAGACTAGCGCGAGGGAATGCCAGGGATATGTCTGGTACTGGAAGACTAACCAGACCTAATGGCCCGACACTCGAACCTCATTCGACAACAGGCCTGCTTCAGATAAACGATTTGATTGGAACGATTTAGCCGTAAACGTGCATAGCGCCAAATGGTGGTCAACACAAACCAGGAGTGCAGCACACCCCAACCAACGCATCAGACGACTCGACTCGGGTCAGAGACTTCTTCCCCTCCTTCTCCTCGCCCTTGCTCGCTCACTACCTTTTTGCATCGCCAAGCCCGACCCGCTCCCTTTCTCACCCCCTGGCCCCCACCTTTCACCCGCCCCCTCCCCTTGTCCGCCCACCCCCTTGCCCCCCCCTTCACCGCTGCGCGGTGAATTCCTGCAAGATCGGGGCCGCAGAACTTCCCTTTTCCGTAGTCGCTTCAGCCTAAGACCCCGAGTCCTGCGCAGAGCAGCGCGTGCTCAGATGGATCCGACTCCGATGCGATGCGCACGGTCATAGACAGACTGCTGAGTGTTCTCGACCACTCGCATCTTGGCATCTAGCCTACTCTCCCCCCACCCCCCAATTGACTACCTACCAGACCACCCCAACCCAACCCGAAGACCCGAATATCGGGTTGGGGGGAGTATGGGTTCCACACGGGTTGTTTCGATGCTCCCCGACACCCCCCACTGGAAGTGGACGGCAAACTGAGGCCTTCGGGTTGGGTTGGGGTGGTTTGGCAGGTGGTGACCAATGCCTCATCTAGACCTGAGCGTAAACTGTTCTGAGCTCCGCGCACATCTCTTTAGCTCCGACCGACCGACCGACCGACCGACCGGCCGAGGAGGAGGAGGAGGAGGAGGAGGAGGAGGAGGAGGAGGAGGAGGAGGAGGAGAAGAGGGGAGGAGAAGGAGGAGGAGGAGGAGGAGGTGGAGGAGGAGTGAGGAGGAGGAGGAGGTGGTGATTCTTTGGCTGGATCGGCGCTGGGCCCCCCCTTCCTGGCGGGCGGAGCACGCTGGGGGCGGCGCTGGAGCCGCCGCCACGGGGGACCCGGCGCCGACCCAGCCAAAGAATCACCACCTCCTCCTCCTCCTCACTCCTCACTCCTCCTCCTCCTCCTCCTCCTCCTCCTCCTCCTCCTCCTCCTCCTCCTTCCTCCTCCTCCTCCTCCTCCTCCTCCTCCTCCTCCTCCTCCTCCTCCTCCTCCTGCCGGCGCCTCGGCTCCTCGGGCGCGGCCTCGCCGACCCGCAGCAAGCCATCCCCCCTGCCGTGACGCCAGCCTCGTCTTGCAGAGCTCCCCCCTCCGGCCGCAGGCGCACGCACGCCCTGGGGCGAGGCCAGGGGGACGCCGCGGGAGGGGATGGCTTGCTTCGGCGGTGGGCAAACCTCCCTTACATAAGCCACCCATCAGTGAGAACGTTACCAGCCTCGAACGTATCCCTATCCCTAAGATTGACACGCCAAAAGGCGATGACAATCTTAGGGATTCGCCCTCAAAAAATGAGGGAATCCCTAAGATTGGCATTGTGATGAGGAGGTACCCAGCATAGGGATAGGGATATGCTCCAGGCTGGTAAGAACGGCCTGGGACCGAAACCGACGGACCTGGACCCGCAGGAACGGCGGCCGCGACGCCCTCGCGCGAGCCGAGAACGGCCCACTCGCCAATCGAGGCGTCAGGGCGGGAGGTCTGTCCACCCCCAACTGCTGAGGGGTCGGCTGGGCCGCCCCTGAGCTGCACGACGCGCCACCCCCCCTGCCGTCGGCGGCAGCTCCTGTGCCGCCGCGGACGCCGCGCCCGGCGCCGGCGCCCGCGCATCCGCCGCGCGCCGTCTGCCCGAGGGCGCGGCGGCTGCCGCGAGGTCCTCGGGGGGCACCTGCCGCGGGGGGGGTCCACGGAAGGAGGCGGAGCGTGCGAGGCGGGGATTTACCCACATCCAGCGCCTGGGAACCGACGTCCTGGTGCCCCAGCGGGCGGTGGATATGGATACATTTCGGCCCCTGGGGGCCCGAATATGTCCATATCCACCGCCGGCCGAGGCTCCGGAAACTGACCCTCCAGGCGGTGGTCCTGTATAAATTCCCGCCTCGGAGGCGGAGCGACAGGTCGGTACTCCTCAGAACGTGTGCTCGCGACGGGAAAGAAGAAATCACGACGGGCGGCTTTTGGCCGTTTTCGGCCTCGGGGGACCCCCGCCGGGCCCCAGGACCGTCAGGAAAAAGGCCCGCGATGAAAAGCAGGTCCCAGGGAAGGGGTCGCGACTTCTTGGGACCGCGCACTAAAAAAAAATCAAGACAACGCATGCGTGCTAGCGAGAACGTAACGACGGCAAGCTAGTTTCTGACTACGCACTGCTGTGCTGTGTCGGTTGGCTTTCAGCCTCGACCTCGAAATTTCAAAGCAGCTGCACAGCGTTTACTTATACTGTGCGACGCGCACTGGCAACATGCACCAGTCTGCAACCACGAGGGCGCCGAGATCGGTGCTCTAGCGTCAGCTGTAATCAAAACCAGCTCTGCACTGCAAACTGCATTGCTCTGTACGATGGAGGCGAAGCAGACGGAATGAAAAATCATCGATGCTGAATGCCATCCCGAGGTTGGGCTTGTCCCACACTCTGTAGTAATCGCAGCCGCCCGACCCGTGCACGCCTGGTGCACGTCCGAGTTTCGACAGTACCCCCTGCAACTGCTGAACATACGCGCAAGTCCGCAGAACGAGCCAGGATGCACCCGCCCGCGTACTTCCCGCGCGCGCGCGTCCATGCTCAGACATCCGGCGTTTCGTTTTTTCCGAGACACGGGCCCCCGACCTCTCGACCTCCTCCATGGGACCGCTTTTCCATCCCGATCCGTTGCTCGACGGCCCCGGGGCCTTGTAGAGGCCCCGAGAAGCCGAGACCATGAAAAACCTCCGTCTCGATTCTGCTCGAGACGCCGGTGCTGCCCGCGCGCGCTCCAGAGTCAACGCGACATGAGCACGCCGGCGCCACGCCACGCACGCAGCACACCCGCACAAGCACAGGGGCACACCGAGGCGGGCAGGAGGCACACCCGCGCTTCGAGGGGGGCAGCGGCCAGAGCTGAAGGGGCCCCAGGACACACAACTAAGTACACACAAATGAGAAGATTCCCCATATTTTCAAACATTTTCTGGGTTTTTGTCTTCCCCCCCACTCCCCATATCTTCCCATGTTTTCTGGGGAATCGAAGATTCATTGTGTCTGTGTGTGTTTTTCCCTCCTGGAAAGCGCCTCCCCCCGCGCCAGGGTCTCCAGGTCGTCCTCGCGCACCTTCCGGTTCAGCCTGATCTTGTCCAGGTGGCGCTGAGCAGAGGTGCGCCTGGCGCCGCGCAGCGCTGGGCACGGCGGAGCCGGGATCGGGACGAGTTCGAATCGGGATGGATCGGGGACCTCTGAGAACTTTACCAGCCTCGAACGTATCCCTATCCCTAAGATTGACACGCCAAAAGGCGATGATAATCTTAGGGATTCGCCCTCAAAAAATGAGGGAATCCCTAAGATTGGCATCGTGATGAGGAGGTGCCCAGCATAGGAATAGGGATATGTTCCAGGCTGGTAAGAACTGGCGGCTCCGGAGGATGCATCCGGCGCCGCGGTCGTTCCAGAGCGCTCCGAAGCTCTCCGAGAGCGTTCTGGGATTCTCTGCATCGCCCTCTTGTCCTGGTCCTGGGCCCGCCAGGCTGCGCAGAGATAAGGCTTCCTTCGAGATTTCGGTTCCCGATGAGAGGGGGAGAATAAGGAGGTGGAGGCAAGGACGCCCAAAGAAGGATTAGACGAAGAAAAACTGCAAACCCAAGACCCATCAACGATATTTCAATGAACCCTCCCTCCAAGTTCCCTCTTCGTAGGCCCCTACACGGATCTAATTTCACTCAAGAAAGTGCTCCGTTGGAAAAGAATCCGTTTAAAAATCCAGAGTTGTGCCAGAACGCCTTTCCTGGGACATGACCGTCGCGAATCCCCGTTACTGTTGCGTCTTGACGATCCTGAATCGCACCAAAACGCCATCCCTGGGACTTCAACACCGCGAACCAACGTGATTGTTGCGCCCTGACATCCCGACACCATGCCAGAACACAATTACTAGGACGTTGACCATGAAAATCTTTGAAACTGCTGCAAACTTTTAAGAAAAATGCGCGCGGCGCTAAAGCGAGAGCCATGTTTTGAAAAGGAACCGCCCTCCATCCGCGAAGCTCTTGCATTTGGAAACGAGCCGCCCTCCATCCGCGAAGCTCTTGCCAACTCTTGACAAGAACACACGCGGCGCTGAGGCGAAGACCACATGTTGAAAACGGACCGCCCTCCATCCGTGAAGCTCTTGCCGCGCAGTCCGTCACCACACGGTCTCTGGCCATCGCTCGGACGTCCATTCCCTGTGCTTTTTGTCGGTTTCGTGCGTGGTCAAATGATCAAGGATGCTCCTCGATGGTCCTCGCCGAAAGAAAAACGCACACGTCCGAGCGATGCCAAGGTCTTGGGACCTCGGAGGCCCGAGTCCCAAAACCGCGCGGCGATCCCGAACTCCCACTGACTCACCGCGCGGCGCGATCGCCACACCTCTGGGGGCCCCTGGAGGCCGACCCGACTCCCCGTGGCTCCTGGCCCAAAATCTCGGCCCCCTGGCGGCTACTCGGGACGACCTGGGAACCCCCAGAAACGCCCGCGGCGAGGCGCGGCCGCTGGACAGGACCCCGAGACTGGCAGGCCGCTGGGGTGCGACGACAGCACCTTTCCTCCTCCCTTTCCTCCTCCCTTTCCTCCTCCTCCTCCTCCTCCTCCTCCTCCTCCTCCTCCTCCTCCTCCTCCTCCTCCTCCTCCTCCTCCTCCTCGTCCTCCTCCCCCCTCCTCGTCCTCGTCCTCGTCGCGAAAACGTCGAACCTCGAAGCTCGAGGAGAGGAGGCGAGGGGCGGCGAGAGGAGGGCCCCCCGACGAGCGCCGCAGGCTGGCCCCGGCCTCGGGGAGCGGGCCGCCGC